ATTGGCTCGGCTTCGTGATCTCCCCTCCCCCACCCGCGTCTGTGCCTTAACGTCGCTTTGTTTTTTTTTCCCCTCTTTTTTTCTTTTCTTTTTTTTTTCTTCGTCGTTTTTTTCTTTTTTTTTTTATTCGAAAGACTTTCTCGACTCGTGTACGAAATCAATAAATGCACGACACGACACGTCGCGGTTATTTCACTTGGCGTGTTGGCTGAGCACGAAATCCACCCTCGGTGAAAAATACGCTATTGAAGCAATTTGTAGTACCGTGCGGCAGACAGCAGGCCAGAGAGAGGGCGATAAATTAGATTACGTAAAACATAAAGCGCTAGTTAGTTTCCTAATAATATTGCTTCGGGTATTAGTACAGCTTTGGTGCCGTTGGTAAGAAAATTGTGCCAAACCCTTGCACGACCTAGATAGTATTTTTATAATACTGGGCATTGATTTGAGATGAAAAGAAAAGCCAGCCAACGGGCGTTTTAAGTTCAAAAATATCGACGATAAATATTGAAGGAGCGAAGGGGCAAAATCATTGACGCGATACGCCAAGGTAATCTCATCGATGTTTCTATAAAAATTTAAATCGCCAAAGAGTCGTCTGCTTGGATGGATATTAAATAACCAATTATTAGCTATTTGTAAAAATTTACAATACTGATGCTTCTAATCGATATTTAAAAGGTGAAGTGAGTAGTGGCAAGACCCGCGGCCTTTTATTAAATGTGTAATGGCAACGGCGCGGTCTAACGAAGAATTCTAGAGTCGTACACATGTGTCATATACACGATTGAAATTTCAACGAAATTATTGATATTCTAGAGAGGATGAAGAAGTTATGCATTGGAACGTATAAACGTTGTGTAACGTTATCACAATAACCTTGACTCGATGAAAACCGACTAACTATACCAGCAGCAGCGCCGCTAACAATTAATCGAACTAATAACAAATATTAATAAACAGCAGCTACGAGTAATGCAAACAATCGCTCAGGCAGCTTTACAACAACCGAGGGCTTGTATAACACCAATGTTAGACAAACCCCATATTAAGATCAAATTTTCTGCATAAAATGTACAACGCATTGTATTTTGCCTTCGTGCAAAATCAATGTGCAGAAATGCGACATTCCTGGGGATTGGTCAAGCGTCTTCGTTGTCGAGACTTGGAATTCACTGTTTCCCCTGCTATATGGACATGACATGACATGACATGACACGAGGAGTTCGGGATTCTTATTAGTTATTGTTTAATGCGACGCTTTGCGCTTTTCTCTGTTTATTGACTTGAATAACTTTCCAGGCATATATTGTAAAATATTTTATCTTCGTGTATAATTACGATTACGAGTACGTGAAACATGAAAGCCGAATAATATAACGTAGAATGACTTAATGTATTCGATTGATTATGTTTTACCGCAATTTATATATTAATTGTCAATTAAATATGGCTATTTTTCTCAGGTCACAACGAAATATCATTATTTTATAATTTTTCGGCTTTTTTGTTGTTGTTTTTTTTTTTTTTTTTTTTTTTTTTTTTTTGTTTACTAAAATAATAAAATCAATTATAACGAGCTGCAGGCAAAATGTAAGTAATAAATGCACGACATGCATATTGGAAAAATAGAACATACTGCTTTCGATGTATTATTATTAATATTTGTACATACTGAGTGTAATAATATGTAACTGTATTTATGATAAAATTTTAAGATGCTTAACAATTTAATAAAATCACCAAGAATGCGTTATTTATATTAATTCTTAAATATTTTGTAAAAAATTTCTATGCTTCTCGTCAACCTTTACTATTACTATCCAATGAAAATTGAAACAATTTTAAATAACGTTAATTAAATAGTAATAATTTGCCAAGGATACCTAAGGGAAATAATGTTTGTTATCAAATATGTAATAATTTTAAGGACATAATTTTTCTTTAGTGAACTGTCTAAGAAGTTTCCTTCTCGGAAACTTTCAAAACAACTGGAACGTGAAGGCTAACTTAAAATCTGTAAAACGTTAAAATTTTCATACCTATTAAGAAATGAAAAAATAATTATACATAAAACTTTCGTTTATATGCAGTGATTAGCTATTCTTGCCACAATACCCTAGCTTGAAGTAAACAAATACCAAAATGTTCGATAAAAATAGTATTTATAAATATAATTGCTAAAGTATTGATGTTACAAATGTTTAAGCTCGATGAAAATAAAAAAAGAATAAATAAATAAATAAATCATAAGTAATGTCTTAGAAGATATAATTTGATGATCAAGGTAGTGTACTACACCAAATAAGGAGAAAAAACTTTTTTAATACTTAAGAAATTGATCCGATTTTTTAAAACGACTATAGTACGTAAAAACATTTACATTCGCATTTATATAATGCGTTCCGAGAAAAATTTGATCTTTATTAAAAAAAAAAAAAAAATCAAAAACATTGTTACTTTTAATCGTTATGGGACATTTTGAAATTGTTTAAATGCAGGTTTTTTTTTTTTTTTTTTTTTATTTATTTATTTATTTATTTACAAGAAATGAGCACTACGCTTTTACTCCTTGTCAGGCAGAATACTGATAGGTAAAATTTCTTTCTTCACACTCTGCGCGATGTAACGAAATTATTTTATTCGACTAATTCAACGTTACGAACAATATATTCTTATTCCCAATAACAAAGGGAAAAACTTAACATTTCTTTATTATGAACGATTGTAGAAGTAATTATATAATCTATATTTCGTTCGAACTTAGTGTAAGGCTTATATGTATAACCATGCTGCCGTGTAATTAGCCACAACATCGCCTATTTAACCAATAATAAATAACAAAGAACTGTAGTAAATGTCAATGTATTTTTCTATTATATTGTACTGGGCATTCATTCATAGGAAAAATGATAAGTTATCGAGTTAACAAGATCGACTTCGTCTTTCCATGGGCCATTAGAATCGAAAAAATTTCTTGGGTCGGCTCACATTGTGCGTAAAGTCTTCCTATTAAATCAAATTTCGATTAGATTTTATATTATTATTGCATGACTAATTAACTCTAACACGCGGGAAAGCTACAAATTCCCAAGTGAATATTTGCGAAAATCTACCGTAATCATTGTTTACGCAACGCGTCACGAAAGTTTCTACACCTTGAAGTATCGATTCATTAATTTCGAGGGATGTTTGATTCTTTTTTTTTTTTTTTTTTTTTTTTTTTTGTGAGCACGAGGAACATTCCTCGACTTTCACGCTATTCAAAATGGAGATAGACAGGACAAGTGAGCAGACATAGTGCGCGCTCGTGCCTTTAATCGAATAATATTTTACACGGAACTAAGTTTCTGTTTTTTTTTTATTTTTTATCGTTGTTGCCACCCCCCCCCAATCAAATAGAAATTGCCGACGAAATTTTGCCGTCGATATTTATTAGCTCGCATGTACTTTCTCACTTCCTGTTGGAATTATGATTAATTCTAATGTATAATGTATACAGCATTCTATTCCGTCATCGGAATCCCGAATAATCGCTCGCAAACGACAACGAACTTTTCGAAAAGGAGCTTTGTTTTTTTAAATCACAAAATAAGTATGTCGAGGATCTTTATATTATAATGTTATTGCGAAAAATTGATATAATAGATGATACCAAGGGATCGGGCTATCAAGTATTTTACATGAGTATACAATATTTGAAAATCGAAATTTGGGTTAAAATGTCCCGACGATTGTTTATAATGGCATCGTAAAATTATGCCACAAAAAAAAAAAAAAAAAAAAAAAAAAAAAAAAAAAATAAAGAAGAAGACTAATAGTATTGAATTAATAATGATCGCTTTTAAGACGATATCGCACGCGCTTTACAATAAACACTTCCTATTTACTAAACTTTTCACAAATCTCTCTTCATGTTCCATGTTAAATTTGTCCAATTAGAAATTTCAACTCGTCTTTATTATTAGATAGAATGAAACTGATGGTTGCGTTCTAGTTCACCCCATCCCGACCTTCCTCCATCGTCCTAACCAAAGATCACCCTCTAACATTATCCCAAATTTATAAAGACTTTGGATAAGTCGTCGAGTTCATTAGAAATATCGTAAAAGCTTAGGAGCCTGTGCGGACAAAATTAACTCTAAGGCTGGGAGAGTCGCTGGTTAGGAGAAGGCGACAACGAGAATGGCAAAAGAGCATAACCGACCATCGAGTTGGCGAGACGGCGACGGTTATCCTCTAATAATAAATGATTAGTAAATTTTCGGTAAATACACGCGGATGGCCAACGTGTCAGGCGAGTACCCAGGAATCCGCATCGCATCGGCCGCGTCTCCCCCTGCGACACGATTAAACGGTTTGGCATCAGGCCACACTTGGCGCATGCGCCATGCGCCTCTTCTAATATGCCCGCGCGTGCGTGTCGCACGCACACAAACACACGACGGCCAAAGCGGTCGAGGGACAAAATCGACGGATGCGCAGCTGAGGAGCCGCCGAGCTTCTGCCCTCGGAGGGAGAAGGTTAAGGGAGACGAGAATGGAACGCGGGGAAAGATCGTTAGCTGGGCTCGCCTGGCCGCCCCCGTCGTTCGCCGACTTTTTCTGTCTCCCGACTGTCAATAAAGCCGAGCAGCCGAAAGGCAACGCGCAATGGGCAAAAATTTTCGGCTCATCAAGGCCTTCCTCGTAATTTATGCTCCACGTGAAACTGTAGAGCCGAAGGGACGCAAAGCGCGAGTTAAACTCGTGCGCGAGACTAATGCTCGAAGCAGAAGAAGCAGAAGCAGCAACAGCAACAGCAGCAGCAGGAGGAGGAGGATGAGGAGAAGGTGGAGGAGAAATGCTGGGGCGCGCGCGCGCGCGCGCGCCTACGCGCATTTGGGCCGAGGAATCGGAGCGACACGCCGACGCCTTTTCCGCCCTTCCGCGAGAGGACAACGGATGCTGGCTCCACCGGTCGGAGCCCAGTGCCGAGGACTCGCAAGGACATCGTCTCACCTGTTGTTCTCCGCCGTATTGCCATTGCCACTACCCATTTCTCCGTAATTCATGATGAGATCGAAGCTCCGAGAGGAGGAGACGTGTTCTGCTGGTGTCGATGGCCGGTTGTCGGCTGTGTTGTTGAGCGACTTCGCTTCTTTCTTCTACGTTGTCGACCTGGGGCGAGAGCGGCTGCGCTCGTCCAAGCAAGACTACTTCTGCTGCTTCTATAGTTAATAGAATAATTGGAAGTGAGAGTGGCACGGGAACTCGAGCGCTCGTGGCATGTGCCGGATAAACAGAGTCGAAGAGGTTCGACCGAGCGACGACTGCGAACTGCTCAAACGAAGCTCGCGCGCTCTCTTTCAGAGGTACTCGTACACTGCTGGCGCGAGCCCCCTCTCTCCCACGTTTCTATCACCCTCTCGCTCGCTCTCACGCTCGCTTCAGACGATAAATAAATGAGAAGCGACTAGTGCGACGATGACGGCGACGACGACAACGGCGACGGCGACGATGGTCGACGTTTGCAGACGTATGCGAAGGTGCGTACGAGCTATGGAGTGGCGGTGGGGTTGGGGTGGGGCGAGGCAGCCAGGAGGGGGAGAGACGAAAGCTTGGAGATGGGGCCGGCATGGCGTGATATATTCTCTAAACTGTGTGCTTCTGAACTCTTTTCCACCACCGCCACTACCACCACCCCCCCCCCCTCTCCCGCTCTTACTCCCGCTCTCACGCTCTCTCTCTCTCTCTCTCTCTCTGTCTGGTTGGCTCACCGTCTGTCTGTCGCCTTCTATCTTTACTACCAAGGTATTGTCGCGCGGTTTCGAGGGGAAGACGTCCGGTCTAATGGTGGAGATCATTTTGCGGGTCGAAAGGGAGGAGAGGAACTATGCAGTCAGATATGGAGTAGAGAGAGAACGTTGAGAAAAGCAGGGGAAGTAAGTGCCGGCGAATGAAATGATGAGCATATCGAGTATTTCAGAAATTCGGGGTACGTCGTGGAAAAATCGATGTAAATCTCTTGATCGTTTACGAATATTCAAATGGATGGCTTGAAGTAATTTCCGGAAATGGAAATTAGTCTTTTGTTTCTTTTCTCTCTCTCTCTCCCTTCCACGACCCTCTCCGTCGCCCCATCCCACTCTCTTGTCGCCCTGTCACTCTTTATTATATACTTAGAAAAACATCTTTATTAGAATAATTAAATATTTCCGTTATATTTTCTGTAATATAGCTGATTATTATGGATGCTAAAATTATATAAAAATGGATTTGGATTTAAAATATCTTCATCTTATATATTCAACATCAATATTCTACTGAATTATAATGATCGATATGACATACTCACTTTACCATTTTACACCACATAATATTTTAAATAAACTAGTAATTAATATAAAATAAAAAGCTTACACTATTATTAGATAGAATGTATATTGATCAAAGTAAAACTTATATGTCTGGTTAATACTGTCGCACAAGTTTGGTCTAAATTGACAAATTTAAAGTAAATAAATATATTTATTTATATAATTTATCTGTCTTTATATTTGTTCCATATTATTTAAATAACATGTTTTTTTTTTAACTTTTAATAATCGGCAATCTTATCAATACAGTATAAATAATAAAAAACATATTTAATAACAAGATTATTTTAATAATTAACAATTTTCACTTTAAGTAATTAGAACTATATATATATATATATATATATATATATATATATATTGTATATTCATTAAAACAATTTAATAAAATATACAAATATAAACGAAATATTACAAATTCTTATTATTTAATACCGAAACGTTTAATTAAAAAGTTGTATTGCGTTGGTTTCTTAAATCATTGTGTTATTAGCCTTAAGTTAATTAAGAAATATAATTTGAAAATCAAATTTATCAAATATTTTTAGTTTAAAATAAATAGAATTAAACGGCGTTGTTAAAGAATATACAAAAATCATAATAAATGCTCTTGAAATGACATTGCTTTAAAAAATATTTGAAGTAACTTTTTTGTTGTTTGAACGAAATTTCCAAACAATCCATTTGTATTTTATTTAATACTTGTACAACACATATTATTATCTATTGTTAATATATCTAATATTTATCATAATAATTAAAATCAATAGCAATTGTAAAAAATTATGCTTCTATTATTAAAATTTATTTTAAAAATGAGGCGAGCAAAATTATTAAGATATTTAAAAAAAAAAAAAGTAATTATAAATATCATGATGTTCTCGGTATAAATATAAATAAAAGTAATTGTTCAAACAAAAATAAACATTCTTTTGCTCATTACATCATATGTGCTTTTATGTTTTTGTTTCGATAAGTATATAAATTATGTTACTTACGTATAAAAAAGACCATCGATACATTTTTTCAAATCTGCATTAATGAAGGCTGAACAATACCTGAAGCTACCTAAAAGGCTATTTAAATAAAATTTAAATACAAAACTGCTGAAATAATAAGAAAATGTTTGTTACACGGGATCTCGATGCCATAAAAAAAAACAAACAAAAAAACAAACAAACAAACAAACAAACAAACAAACAAAAAAATTGACCAATAGCCAAGAGTATAATATTTTATATAATAAAATAATAAGTTTTCATTAGGTTTGGTGCAATCATGTATGCAATAGAACTTAAATCATCATACAAATAGAAATAAAAATAAGCATCTACGTGAATATTTTTAACAAACATTTACGCAGTTAATTATAACAGTACCTTTATTATGCGATACAAACATATAAGACGCTGATGGAAAAATACAAACAGTCTAGACGTCCGATGGATTCACTCCATTTAGCTTCATTTGTAGATTCTTTAAAGCATATCATATTATAATAATACGTTTCTGTTGGGGGATTAATGATTCATGATTTTTATATAAATACGATAGAACGGCATAATATACTCCTTGGACATATTGACTTGTACATACGAAATAGTAAAATGTATATTGTCATAATAATTTCACCAAAAACCGATAGTCATTGTCAATCGCATTCATCACAATTCCTCGTATTTATGTTGCGTATACAATGACATGCGTCCATCACGTTTTATAATATCTTTGCACACTTGGAAATTCAAGTGGCCACCTCGATCGCATGTTCTCCTCGTGATACTGCGACTATCGTGTCTTTCTTTCTCTTTTTCTTCTTTCAGCTGATTAGAAATCAGAAGATTCACTTTTTACACTCTTTTTATCTCTTAAATGCATTTAATATGTCTGTACGTGTAGGTTAACGTTTGAGGCACAAGTACACAATTTATTATTCAGCTTTTAATTAGATGACCAACAATTAAAATGTACAATTATAATTAATACAATTTCAATTTCAATAATTATGTGAAAAAAAGTTTTTTTCGAAAATTTATTAAAAATTACATTTTATAGAATTCAGAAATAAAATTATACTTTTACGGTAATTTATGTTTTCATATGGCTTCACTTACATTATATGTTATGTAATACGAGATCTTATTTTGTTTACACTAGAGTAACAAAAACTAACAGTGTTAAATATACCCAAAGCCAATGTATGTTCCTTTAATATAATTTTATCTAAAATATTTGTTCTGTTTTTTATAAAAAATAATACTTTTATATATAAAAATACAAATAATTAGCATTATTATTAACAAAAATTGTTTAATTGTGTTAATAATGTTGCTTCTTTTTATTAAACCGATCGTGTTCTACTCTTTACAACAATTTTTAATTTTTGTATATAATCAGTCAAAATAAAGAATGGCAGCGAATTATAATCTAGACATGCCTATTATTTCTCTTATTTTTGCAATTAAATGTAATATAAACCCAACAATCTTGTAAAATAATATTATAGAATTTGAATTATATATATATGATAAAATATTAGATTAATATTTTTAAAAATTTTTCTTCATTGTACATTATTTATATAGATTACTATTATTGTTATTATTATTTCTATTTTTCTTTTCTTTCTTTTAATTAACGAACGACGATAAATCGCTATTTATTTATAATTTTAAATAAAATCGCGCTATTTGAAGGGCTGAATTACTGATTTAGAATATATTGGAATCATTTGCTGTTTAACTATCAACTTATTATATGTTTCTAAATGATAACCGAACTCTGGTCTATTTAGATCAGGATTACCCATATTTGGATATTATAATTTATTTAGAGCTTTAAAAGCAATTTTAAAATTCATTATGGATAACAATTAACAGTTATTCTAGAATATTAGATATGTGAAAACGAAACGTTGCATAGAGTGAAAAAATGATTTAGGAGCTCAAATTCTAAGCATTATATTTTAAAGTGGTTCATCAAATTTCGCTTTGCACTAATATGTTTTCCTCGCACAGTGTCTACTTCTCTCTTACTCTTGCATTCTCTGTCAATAATATATTTTGCATTTTTGATATTTTAGCCTGTCTTCCGATGTGCAAACATAACTGCTCTTTAAATGGATACCGAAAGCATTTTACAATATTGAAAAGTGAAACACGGCAATGCTCTGTTTGCACAAATAAGTAAAAAAAATGTATATTCAAGAAAAAGAGAAAACATGTGAAATGGTGAGTAAGAAATAGCAAGTAAAAAGAAGAGAACGAGTCAAATGGAGATGTAATTGATTTTGACAAAACACATATCGAATATTTTGTTACAAATTCCACAGATGATATTAACATAAATTATAATTGCATACATAAATTCATTAATTCTTAATAATCGAGATTTTTCAGAATTATCGTATTAATCATATATTTGCTTACACGTGACGTCACTTATGCTTGTATTCAATGATGCGGTAGAAGTTTAATGTAAGTTTTTCTGTTGAAAATCACATGTAGTTAAATTGTAAAGAAAACAGAATGTAAGTACATTATATGCAGAATTCTTTCTTATCGACTAGTATTTAAAATATATTAACACTGTTTTAAAATTAATACAAAGTAATTTGCGCATTATATTATTTTTATATCAATATTATAGCATTTATTTCATTGAAAAGTAAGCAGATCTTTAAAATTAAATTGGAACGGATATTTCAACCTGACACGTTAACAAAAAGTGAAGTGTGTAAAATAAAAAATTTGCCAGTCTAATATTACAAGTTCATGGTCACTCTGCTATATGGGAGTAATGTAAAGTATGGTTAATTGAAACTTCCTGTAATATTATTCTGTAATCAGGCTTCTTCCATTAAATATATCGACATGATTCCCATGCTGGCGAATTTGACAATTTTTTGAATTACCCAGATGGAATTATTGTTGTTGTTTTTTCTTCTTTATTAGTTGATTCAAACTATTTCGTCGTACAACACAATTACATTATTATTAATTTTTAACAATAAATGCAATTATTAAATGTATGCAATTTTGTTTCTTAGAAATAGACAATTTTACTATCGATAC